ATGAACTCCAGGCAGTGTGACAATAAAATGGATGTTTGCTATTATAGCAGATTGGTTCCTTTCTTTACTTAGTATTTGCTAGAACAAAAGCACTGTAGCTTTCCAAGGCTGTAGTGAGTCAGTGCTAGAATTAGCAGTATAATACTGAAAGAGGGATCACCACTAAGCAATGTTTCCTCTCCTTTCTCCTCACCTAGTCAAAAAGGCTACCCCTGACAAATCATCTATTAATAGACAAGCTTCTATCATTTAAATTATTAAATCATATTGAAAAAACAAAAACTCTGCGCTCAAGAAGTATAAGGTTTTCAAACAAATAGAGCTATTCCTATTGCTTTTTCTTTCTTAATTTTATTTTTTAAAATATAGCTAGATTCCTGTGAAATAAATCTCAGCAATCCTTCTGCTTCCTGAAGCTTTAATAGCCTCAGCTCTGCAAAATTTAGATTTCTAACAATGGATTTGGGTCTTGGTGCAAGTCAGTCCTGAACACAAAAAGTAATTATTGTAATACCAAAATGCAAGGGCTGTTAAGAGAAGGGAGGTTTGCAATAATAAGATTATGGAAAACCTCTATTACAGACTTTGCATTTCTGGGATATTCCTGAATGAATGCCATCTGCTTGGTGAGCATAAAGAATGTAATCATATTGAGAGAGGCTTTCTATCCAGTTTTGAACAAATCGAGGTTGAGAGAACAGGGTTGAGTTACCAAGAAAAGGTATATTTTGGTATAATTCAGTGCATTTGGCCTTAAATACATTCCAGTGCTCATCAGAGCCTGGAATTATGTGTTTTTACCTAAGGGGCCTATTTATTTCCAACAGTCAAATATACAAAGATATATATAAATATATACACAAATATATTTATTTTCCTCTCTGCTAAATCACCAGAGAGACATGACTGATTGCTTCTCTAGAATTCAAAGGCATGGATGTTGGGTCAGAGTGAAAAACTACACAGCAGCATCACGTGTGAAAAGTGAACTTTTAACTGAAATGTGCAAGTCTGAAGTAAAAAAATCCAGTGAAGGCTTATCCATGAGGGAAATAGAGGCAAAGAACCAAATGCTTACAGAAGAGCATATTTTTAAATGCGGAGGCTTGTAATCTAAAGAGTCTGTAGGGTTTTTATTTTAGGACAAAGAAATAATTGCTCATGAAGACAAAGGTAACACCTGTAACACCTGTAAATCAGACACAACAGAAATCATTGCATGGCAACAAAATAAGTTTTCACTCCCTAAGTGGAAGGCTGCAGAGAACTTCTTAATGTTTTCCCAAGTATTAAGGGAACATACTGAGTGGGCAATAAACAAGGACATTTGCCCAAACAGGCTTGTCTCCCGTTTATACCTTCTGACTCCATTCCCACAGTTTCTATTTCCTCAATTGCCTTTCTGCCCCTGACTGGGAATTGCTGTAGATTACTTGAAGATGCTGAATATCAGTGTAATTTTTTTCCAAGACTAAAGTCTTTAAAGACTGGACTATGTGCATGAAAATAAGATACTATTACAATGTTATCTACAGTCAAATAGGTGGACTGTTGCTATAGGAACACGTGCAGAATCAGAGCGAGGAGGACTCCATCCCAGCAGGGACCAGCCTGCTCCTGACACCCGACCCCAGAGCTACTGCTGCTCTCACACAGCTTGTATGTGAGCAGGCAAAGGGTGTATTTCAATGCCACATCCCAGTTGTCCATATATTTCTGTGCTTACTTTTTAGATCACTTCCATCATATTCTATTTTTACTGTAACACTGTGGGGGGAAAAAAAACCAAAGAAATCCTACAAACACTGAAGTACACTGTGTGATGGTTCCTGGTAACAGCACACAATGCCAGCCAGGCACTGGAAAGGTCTTACACGCAGGGAATTATGTGTGAGCTTTAATGCTTAAAATAATCACACTCTATGAGAATAAGTTTGTCTGCATTTTATTTTCTTGAGCTATCTTTGATGAGGATTAATGAATGAATGGTCACAAAGTGCTCTAAAATCCTAGGAAAGCATGCTAAGAGCACACACTTACTTAACTATTGTGTGCAAAGGATAATGTTTAATGCTTACCTGGAATTTCACTCTAGCTATAGATGGATGAGTCACTGTCACAGAAAATGTAACAGTTTCAACTGAGAAACAGAAAAACTTTAGAGAAGTTAAAGCAAATGCTTGATGACTGACCAGGAAAAGTATCTTCATGGTAAATGAGCTGAGTAAAACTGTTTGTCCAGACTAACCCTCAGAATTCTTCTGCAATGTGGTTTATTTTCCACAGGGCTTTACAAAACAAAACCAAAACCCCTCCGCAACATCGGCCAGCCATAAAAATGGCAAATAGAAATAATTATATCTACATTACTGAGCTCTGTAACTGTGTTTACAAATCTAATTCTCCTCAGGTCTTTTGCAGACAGAAAACATTTCCCAAGCAGTTCTATGTCCTAAACTGGAGTACCACGACTTGGTACTTTTCCTCTCTGCATTAAAACCCCCCACTTTACCAACAGTATTGTTTTCACTGTCTGCACAGCTAGACTTATTCAAAACTTATTCAAAGCCTACCTTATAAAGCCACGGTTTTCAGACCTGCCCACTGCAAATACACACACCTGTGTATTGAAGTGTGCATTTCCCACTCAGGGAGCTGCAAACACACCCTGCACACGCAGCAGCATATGTGTGTGTGTATTTATACTGCATTTGCTTGTTTAGGCAGAACTAAGATGATGTAAACTGAAGTGTCTGGAAAATACTAAGGGCAGAAAGAATTCTTCTCCACAAAAGGTGATGTATTTTATAATAGCAAACAGACCAGTGAAATGGCGCATGATCTTATGATATTTAGGTCTATGATCCAGATGTCTCTGAATCTGCCAGCATTTAGAGGGGTAATAGTAAGTTTGAAAAGGAAAATTAACCAACAATCTATGAAATTTAGAAATTTGCCATGATTTCTGTTGTCAAGAGAACTGTTGAGTTTTATTTGGTGTCTCTGGTATTGCTTCCTCTGTATCTCACATCCCAGAGGGGCAGACCACACGGCAGCCAGATCGAGATGCGAATACGCCACCAGGTGCTAATTAACAGCCCGGGAGCAATTAGGAGATGCCAATCAGCGCAGCAACACAACACCACCTACTTCGATGCCCGTGGGCACCGGCCCGTTCCGTGCCGGGCACTCCCCGTGGGGCCCGGCCCCGGGGACAGCGAGGCCGGGCTGTGCCTCCCGCGGGGACACCGGGCCTGGGACGGGCTCCCGGTGCGGACTCCGGGCTCGGCCGAACGGGGGGGACGGACGCCAGTGCGCCCTGCTCCACCGCGGGGCACCGACCCCACAGCGGGGCCTTGGCACCGCCCGGGCCCGGCACAGCTCAGCTCGGCTCAGCTCGGCTCGGCTCAGCTCGGCCCGGCCCAACTCAGCTCAGCAGAGCCCAGCTCGGCGCGGTCCAGCTCAGCACAGGACGGCATGGCCCAGCTCAGCTCAGCTCATCACAGCCCGGCCTAGCTCAGCTCGGCTCGGCAGGGCTCGGGCCGGCCCGGCACAGCCCAGTTTAGCTCAGCCCAGTTTAGCTAGCACAGCCCAGTTTAGCTCGGCTCGGCACGGCCCGGCACAGCCCAGTTTAGCTCAGCCCAGTTTAGCTAGCACAGCCCAGTTTAGCTCGGCTCGGCACGGCCCGGCACAGCCCAGTTTAGCTCAGCTCGGCCCGGCTCAGCTCAGCCCAGTTTAGCTCAGCACAGCCCAGTTTAGCTCGGCCCGGCTCAGCTCAGCCCAGTTTCACTCAGCCCAGTTTAGTTTAACTCAGCCCAGCCCGGCCCCGCTCCGCTCGGTGCCCCTCGGCCCCCGCGCGCGGCCCCGCCCCTGATTGGCCGTGCTGGCGGCCAATGGCAGCGGCGGTTGCATCACCCGGCGGGGCGGGGCGGGGCGGGGCGCGCGCGGTGTCGCAATCGCCGCTCGCGCACGGACCGAGCGCGGCCCGGCCCGGCCCCTCCCGCCGCTCGCGGCCCAGGTAAGAGCGGGGGGGACGCGGGGCCGCCCCCGGGCCCCTCACACACCCCCTCGCACCCCCCTCACAGCCCGCGCGCCGCCGGGCCCGCTCCGCACCGCGCCTCGCGAGCCGCCGGCCGGCCCCGCTCCCCTCCCCGCCCGGCCCGGCCCGTTCCCTCCCCCGGTGAAGTCACGGCTTGGCAGCCCCGCCGGGCAGCCCCGCGCGGGCGGGGGAGGAGCAGCGGCGGGGCGGGCGGGGCGGCGGCAGCGCCGCCGGGGAGGGCCGGGCCGGGCCGGGCGGGGGGTCCCGGGTCGGATCCGGGGGCGGCGGGACCGGGCGGGGGCGCGCCCGGGGGGCACTGGCGGGGGCGCGCCCGGTCGGGCCTGGGGGGTGCGGGGTCTTGACGGATGTTTGGGTTCCCCGCGGAACCCGGCGGGTTTTTTACAGTCCCGGCCGCGAGTTTCCAAACAGACCGTCGACGTCCGGTAGGAACGGCAGGCGCGGCTCGGTGACAGCGCCGGGCACGGCCGGCCCGGGAGGTGTAAACACCGGCAGTGTGCAGAACTTTCTGATTCAAGGAATTGGTTCGTCGTTAGAGATCGCTGTGTCGTTTTAATTCGAATGACAGAGTCTTTCAATCCCTCCTCGGCTGGGGTGGGTTGTGATTCTGGTCACATTGAAATACACGTTTCAGGTGTTCCGAGCGCGGTCTGTTAAGGATTTTGGGAGTGCATTTTTCTCGGAACATATCTATTAAAAATGCAGATTCTGAGGTAAATGCAGGATGTTGTCAACTATAGCAAGAGATGGTGGGTTTGGGCTACCTAGACTCAAAAAAGTTGTTGCCCAGCCCTCAGTACACGAGGGTGAGCATCATCTCCAGCAAACACGCCTGGGAGAGTGAACCACACAGGAGTGGGCCCTCCCACTGCTCAGCAAATGTGTGCCTGGAGCTTTGTGCCCCTGTCCTCTGTACAGGGTTAGTGGAATTTAGAGTCAGCTCCCACTAGGATATTCCTGCTGAAGAGAAGGGAGGGTACCTATTGCTGTTCAGGTTGGGACCGATTTTGCATTAGACAAGACAGCTCTAAGTGAATCCGTGCAATAAAGTCATCCTGACTAATGATCAGAATCAGCACAGTCCCATTGCAGAAAAGGAGCAGAGAGAAGCACTTAGTATTTCTTGCTGCCAAGTGAAAAAACCCAAACTGATTCAATTAACAGAACACTTCTTTTGGTTTTTTTTTTGGCCAAAACAAACATTTGGAAGTTTCATTTATTTTTTTTGTGTGTGAAAGCAAAGATAATAAAGGCCTTCATTTGCTGGGGAGTCTGTGGTCCCTGAGGAGCTCTGTCAGACAGTAAGAAACATCCTTCTGTCTGAGGAGACACCTCTGAGTTACCAGCTATTATGCTGTAGTGGGTGGCCAGCTAGTGTCCTGGGTGGCCAGTTGGTGGCCCAAGGAGAGAACCAGGCAGTTCTAACTGGCCACTGGAAACACTACCATGTGCTGGGTGGAACCAGCCTAGGGCTGTTGCTGAGCTGGAGCTAATGAGCAGCTTTATGGGAACAAGATGCTTGGAAACTGGGCTGGCTCTCCAAGGAGCTGCCTCCTGCTGTGCTGGGGCTGTCACCCACTCACCTCCTCCTGCTGTGCTGGGCTGTCACCCACTCACCTCCTGCTATACTGGGGCTGTCACCCACTCACAGGACACCAACCTGTGTGGGGAGGAGTGGAGCAGCTGCCTTTGTGTCACACGGGGTCCAAGAAATTAGAGACCTACCTGCCTCCCCACCTTCTTGGCCTCTCCCAATTACCACGTCCTTTACCTCACCCTTCTTGAGAGTCCCCTCTGTACATCTCATACCTGCTGCCTTTAAATCTCCTCGCAGTGTTTGCTGAAGGATGCCCCATAGCACCTGTCACTGTCCAGGGTGTCATCCTGACAACTGGTAATAGGCATCCAGCCTCCAAATAATTAGGGGGAAAAACTAGTTTCAAGCCTCAACTATTAGCACTGCTGTGAATCTGTGATGCAGTACAGTTAGTGCTACCTGCTTTCATTGGAGCAGGACAGGAATCCAGGTGTCATCCCTCCCAGGTGATCATGCCAGAAAATAGCACATCTCACTCAAGAAATAGTTATTTAATCCAAAACAGATCAGTTGCAGTGGGAAAGAATTGAGGGAGATCTGTTCTAGCAGGGCTAGAATGCTTGCTTGAGAGGTGTGACACTGATTTATCTTGTGTGCTCGTATCCATGTACTGCCCAGCTAAAACACTCCATTAAAATTTGGTTTAATGGAACAAATAATTTGTCCATTGAATCATAGGGAAATTTGATAGAGATCAGCAGGGGATGTTAAAGCAATATTAAATAGTTTCAATAGCATACAGAGAAGTAGCACATGGAACCTGGTGATGTGAAGAAACTTGTTACATGTCAGGTGGGGTGCCCTTGGGGGCAAGAGTCACCCCTTCCTCCGTAGTATCTCATGAAACACAAAAAGCAGATCGTGAAAATGGTGTGGGTTACTTAACTGGACTGTCCAGGTGAACTTAGCAAGCACTGTAATGTGTTGAAACAGAGGGGACAACAGGGCATTCTGTCTGACTTTGAAAAGGTGCCAAAAATCTAGTCAGAGGGAACGTAAGAGAGCTGCATACTGTTTGTGGGCTGCAGAAATTCAGTATTTTAAAATAAAGTGCAGACAGGAGGAGGATACGCTTACAGCTTGACTAAAAACGTCTGTGCAATTACACGTGCACAGCTGCTACAACTGGCCCTGCCAGTCTGGTGTTTGTGCACAGTAACATCTTGTTAGCTGTGCATTCAGTTCAACTGCTGAACCAAAGTGCTTATTCAGTCAGAGTCCAAGACTGAAATGGGGTTTGTAGAAGTTGCTTAAAGAGTTGAAATCGGGACAATACTAAATTCAAAGGTATTGGGTGATATGTATCTAGGTTCAGCTATACAGATGTCAGAAAGAGTTGATGGTCTCTTTCTGCCCTGCAATAGGAAAATGAAAAGATTTCTTGACAGGAGGGGCGTGGGTGTACTCATACATCTTCACTTAACAAGTGAGAAGACTTCTGGGTGACAGAGAATGTTAATTTTGAGTAACATTTAAGCCAATCTTACAGGGCTTTCCCATGAATGTTACTGAACCACATTCTGGAGGTGCATCTCATTCTGGCTCCTTCATCATGGAAGAAAACACACAGTTAAAGTACACAGTCGAATTTTAACCTGTTTGTTTAACCTTGTTTGACTGGTCACCGAGTACTTTTCACTGGAGCCATAGGCAGGTGTTTCAGGAGCTTAGGACCATCCTGTCACCCTTCCCTCTTCTCTCCCAGCCCTTGAAGAAGTCATCCTGTGAGATGGGAAGAGAAGGGGACAGGCTGCTAGCCTTGCCAGGGCCATGTCCCTGCAGCAGCTCTGGTGGAGTCCTCCTTGTGCCACCAGTAGGGCTGGGAGCAGGCTGACACAGCAGTGGAAGGACGTGAGTCAGGTGAGAGGATGTCTTGCTCATCCAGCCAGTTTGTCTGCTGGAGAGTGGACAATGACCAGTGCACAGGCTACAGCAGGAAACCATATTTGGTGGACGAGTCAGCTATGGCTGCTGTCTTTTCATGGGTGGCAACAGTGCCCTGTCTTTGGTGATTCTCACGTTGCCCTCACCCGGTGTTCCTGTCCCACCTGCTCGATACACAGTTACAGGCTTACCTTTGCTTGTGGTTGAATGTCACCCAGAGCCAGGCTTTGCAACACACTACCTTTTTCCATAGATTTATTTTTCCACTCAATACTAGTAGACCTTAAACAGTCATCAGTTTGAACATCATCTTCAAAAGCAAGTGCTGTAAGACAGTTCAGGAAAGGTGGACAGGCCGAGCACCCTCGCTCCAGAGAACAGAGACCAGGGAGGACTTTGGGTGGGGATACGTCCAGAGGAACGGTCCGAAGAGGACAAGGATCAAGTACCCCTGTTGGTCAAGAGTCAGGCTGTTAATAGGTTTAAGCCACAGAAGGAAAACTCCAGTCTGAAAACTAAGAAAATTATATAACTGGAGGAAAAGTTAGACAGTGGAACATGTTGCCAAGACAGAGGTTGTGAAACGAGATATTTGAGGCTAGGCTAGACACCCATCCATCAGGGATGGCTTTGGAATAACAGAGAACAATTCAAACTTGTTGAATTTGACTAGATGACCCACTAATAGTCTCTTCCAATCCAAATACGTTTGAGAGGCTTCAGAAATGTAGTTGGCAGCTTGTCCACTTCCAGCACTGTTGTGATGTGTCACTGCCAGATACACATCACTGGCTTTAGCATGAGGTACCGATGGTACAAGATAGTAGCTGAAGCCAGCACCTTTAATAGCATTTGTTTTTCCATACTAGGTTCATCTTGCCTTTAATCCATGTGAAGATCTGTTGGAAATACCTTCAAGAAACACGAGAGTTTTCAGTCTCCTAATAAATCCTGTTGTGTCCAAGAACAGCCTGTCCAAATGAGCAAGACATCCCAACAGAACACCACAACAGATGCGAACGGCGTAAGTGTGATTCACACCCCAGCACACACCAGTGGTTTGCAGCAGGTTCCCCAGCTGGTGCCAGTTAGTCCTGGTGGTGGAGGCAAAGCTGTGCCTCCCAGCAAACAGGGAAAGAAAAATTCCTTTGTGGATAGAAACAGTGATGAGTATCGTCAGCGCAGAGAGCGAAACAACATGGCAGTGAAAAAGAGCCGGTTAAAAAGCAAGCAGAAAGCACAAGACACACTGCAGAGGGTCAACCAGCTCAAAGAAGAAAATGAACGTTTGGAGGCAAAAATTAAGCTCCTGACCAAGGAGCTGAGTGTACTGAAAGACTTGTTCCTGGAGCACGCACACAATTTTGCAGACAATGTGCAACCTGTTGGCACTGAAACCACCACAACAAACCCAGAGAGCAGTGGACAGTAGACACGGCAGCCTTGGGAAACGAACTCCTGAGGTGCAGCAACCGAGCAAAAACTGTTCCTTTAACCATTGTTTTGTGGAGATTTTTCTTCTTTTAGATTTAACACTGAAGATTTGTAACAATTAAACCAGAAACTGGTTAGGGTATTTGCTTTAAATATTTTTCTCCTCAAGGATTTACGCAGGTCTGAATTCGTAGCCAACAAGGGGCGTCGTATTAAGGAGATAACATTTTCACAGAAATGTTTGCTTACCATCTTAAGAGTTTGCATAATGGGAGGAATCTAGCAGGATGGCTCACTGTAGTATCAGAAACTCATCATTGGATAAAATGTCCTTTAAATACCTGTTAGAGTATTTAAGCACTTAGTTTTCTCCATGACATACTGCAAAGTGCAAAGGCCGTGGAGGGTGTTTGCTTTCCCATGTGGTGGACTACTTTAAATCTGTAGAGCAAGTCCTATAAGGCACCATGTGGGTCCTTCCTGCCCAGTTAGTGGGGAGGGTGTAGTAGTAGTGAGCTGGGATGCTTACTGATGTTTTCTAGAGAAATAACAATATACTATGATGATATGTACAGGCAGTTGGCTTCCAAACGCTCCTGAGTCCGAAGCATCACATGCAAGAGGCAAAGCAGCACACTGACAAAGCTTTTAGTTAAGCTTGTGTCCACACTGTTCACATAGTGACTGGGGCCTTAGGAGAACAAGAGTTTGTTTTCAGAAAATGTCAAAATGCTACCAAAAAACTGCACCCTGCAAAATTTCATTCTTGCTGGGGTGGAGGTTTCGGGGAGAACAAAATGTGCAGCCTGGCCAAGCAGCATCTGTTCAGCCAGAATGTATGGATCACTGCTTAATCTTACAGAAATTCACCGTGATTTAAACCTAAATGGCCCTAGTATGACTGATTCAGTGGAATTTCTACAGCCATCATACAGTTGTGTGAAGGAATATCTTCAGTCTTGTTTTATTTTCATAAAGGTTTTTCTATAGCAACTTTTTTATTGCTACTGCTAAGTCTTTGCTATGATCCATAATGCAGTGGTATGTGCTATACTGAGGATTTAAACAAAGTAAAGCAGGAACTTTGATGTAACTTTAATTTATTTTCATTTCTAAATATTTCATTGATGGTATGGTTGTTTTACATTTAACCTGTGTGTCTCGTGAGTAGATTACCACACTGTCTTAATTTCCCTCTTGCACTACCTTTTTCCATAGATTATTTTGTAGGATGCTTGTTTGCTTTGTACTTAGGAAAAAACTTGGATGTTATCTCTATGAAGATGCCGTTAGAAAATGAAACCTTGAAAAGTTCTTTTTGAATTTAAACTTTTAATACATGTGGAAAACTTAAGGATTGGTTTGGATTATGATAGTCTTTTTACAAAGATATGTTTTTTTCATTCTAGCTGCAGCTTAAGTTGGTAGGGTTGAAGTACCAGAAGCTAATAAAGACCTTTTGCTTCTAGTGCTGGCCTCATTTTTCCTTTTCTATTTCCCTCAAGTGCAGAGTTGCTCACCTCACACAGAAAATCAGTGCAACAGTCTCTGTTCCTGTCTTGCACTCAGGTTCCTGCTCCATGGAAACAATCAGAAACTCACTACAGTTTTGTCTGAATGTCTGATTTAACAAAAAAAGAAAAAAAAAGAAGAAATTTAAGACTGAAAATGTGCTGCAATTAAAAGGGAGGGGGAGGAACAGAACAAAAAAAATTGCAAGGAAGATGATGATCTGAAAGCATCTGCTTTGTTAACTGTGCACCTCCTCTGGTAGAAAGGCCAGAGCTGGTCTCCCCGGCTGTCTGCTCTGTGAATTGGGACTGTGTGGCCCTGTTATCCTGAAATTGGTTTGCCAGGCCAGTGTGGGGTCCTCCCCTAACAGTCAGAACTCCACATCTCTCAGATTTGGTTCAGATTTTGGTGAAGAGGATTTCTTAGATCTCTTGAGTGGGAGTAATACTCTTTCTGGACAGGGACTTCTCCACCTGTTACTCCTGAGAGCTCTGATTCCACTTCCTTCTTGTTTAAAACCAAACCACAGAGTTATGAAAAGTCATTTGTTTGCAAAATGACATTTCTGGCTCAGCAGCCTCTGCTCTAGCTTTGTTTGCTGATGTCATGGTTTAAACCCAGCTGGAAATTAAGCCCCACACTCCCCCCCCCAGGTGAGAGACAAAAGGCTCTCCCAGGTTGGGATAACAATTTACTGGAAACAGCAATGAGATAAGAAAAGGAGCAGTACCAGCAACACCAGTCAGGACAGCAGTGTAAAACAGAGGGTGGTACCAGCCAGAGGCTCACGGTGTCCAACCCAACACCAGTTTATGACTCTGAGCCAAAACAGCTCTGAGGAGCAAACGCACTTTGCCCCAAGGTGCAGTGACAGCAAAGGGCCTCAGTCTCACCCCTCTGCTGCAAGGCACAGGACACCCACACCCAGGGGACTTGCACAGTTCTCTCTTCCTAAAGAAATAAATACATCTACATAAGAAAATTTCAGCGTGGACCTATAAAAGTTAAGGTTTTCCTCTTGACACATTGTTTTTAACTACAGTCTGTGAGAGAATACAGTGCCTGTCACTACAAGAACGGGTGTTACAGCACCAAGAAACCTTATTCCCATTTTCCCACTGTGCCAGCATGGGAAGGGGTCTGCTCTAGCCCCCACGAGCACTGGGAGCTCTACCCCTTTAACTACACCCTGTAGCTGCAGCAGTGTAACTCGTGGCAGGTAAGTCCAGATGTGCCCAACCCCACCGAGCTGAAGCAATCTGCTGAACCCATTTACATGTATCAGTTCAGAAGTGCTGAGACCTTTATAACAAACTTGCTCAGCATAACACCCTTTCTGTTATTTTGGTGCCACTCTACTCAAGTCTTGTTTGCACCAAGGGAGAAGGCATCTGGGAAAACATGATAGTGACAGCATAAAATAACACTGTAAAAAAAATTTTGCCATAACTGGTATTTTCACCCCACTAATACATTTAAAATGTTATTAAATATCACTTTGCCTTTTTTGGTAATGGTTTATTCCCCCCCTTTTAATTTAGAAAAAAACGTCTAATTCACTTTTTGCTGAAGTGGATAAAAATTACCATAATTACAGAAAGACTTCTGGAAGGAAGGATGAAATTTATATCCACCAAGTTCGTGGGCCTGATTATGAAGGAAAATGGGAGAGGGTGCACCATCCCAGACCGAAACACATCCCCATCTCGGGCAGGCAGAACTCAGGAGCTGGTTACTGAGCCAGTGCTGCCCCCGGCCCTGGAGCTGTGTGCTGGGGCTGGGGCTGTGTGCTGGAACATGTGGAGGCAGAACCGGTTCTGGCTCCTGCAGCTCCCCGGGTTGTTCGACCTGTTCTGCAGCAGCAGAGCCTGGGTTTGCCAAGATTAATCACAGGCAGGGAAAGGCCTGTTAACTAGACTGGGGTTATGGCTCAGTTGAAACAATTCCAAAGCTCCCTTTTTTTGAAAATCTGTGAAGTGTTACTATAAAATAGTAACTGCTCTTGAAGCCAAGCAAGAGCAGGTTTCGGAATGCCCAAAGCAGTGAGCCATCCCTGGGTGTGTTCAGAGCATGGCTGTGGAGGGAAGAAGGCCGAGCCCCTGAGCACTGTCTTGTTCTGAAGAAAACTGAGTTTTGGGGCAATGCCAGAGCAATGCCAATGCAGTCTCTGTGGTCTCGTACCTGCAAGGCTACCAAAGCAAAGCCTGATGTCCTCTGTGCAGGTGCTACATTTCTATTCAAGAATTCCTGCACTTACCTCCTACAAATCAATGCCAAGAAAGCTCTAAAAAAATGTAAATAGGCTTATTTGTTAGCTGAGTGACACTAAACATAAGGAGTGAAGTCCTCTGGCTTATTTCACAATATGTTTCTTTGGTCTCCAACACACAGTTTCCTATTCAGCAATGGGTCACCAAGGTGTTACAAATAAAGAGCAGGTTCTTGTCACACAGATCAACCCAATTAGCAAAAAGAGCTCTCTATAGAACAACACATTTGACAATTTTAAAGCAAATTATTTCAGACCTAAATTCAGTCTGGGGTGGGGGGAGCCACAAAGGCAGCAACACAGTAGTTTCTGACACCATCCAAGCTTTGTGCACCCCATGTGAGACAGGCACTTGCAGGCACCCAGAAGCTCAGGGTTGGTCCCATCACCCACGTGCCAGCTCTCTGGAGTGAGCAGCAGAACTGAGATGTCTCACCCAGATGCTGAGATGATCAAGGGAGCTGATCCCTTCAGTGGGAAAATCCTCGTCTGGCAAGCAGTAACACCCAGAAAGGCCCTGACACTGCTGTGGCTTCAGTTCCCTCCTGACATGACAGAGGGATGTTCTGAAGTGGCTTTGCAGTCAAACTGTGCCTTGAAGACTGAGCAGGAGTTTCTCAAAAAGTAAGATTAGTTTTATGCAGTTACAGCAACTACATTTTATGATGCAAGAAATGTATTTGTTCTCCTGCAGGTTGATGAGTACCTACAATAAAGAAAGGCTTCTCTGCGTAATTTAAAGTAATTTAAATCTTGCATGAACGGAAAATAATTTTGATCACTATTAATATGTTTGTAATGTATCCAAATAAAATTTATATTATTTAATTCTGAACCAGCTAACACTGAACAGTTAAAAATAACTCTATCATGCTGCACAGCATATGCTGCTGAATGACCCTGAGCCCTGCAGCAAAGATATTCCCTTCTTGCAATTTCTAAGGGTCATGAACACCACAGCAATCTATGTTTTCAAGAAACAAATAAATGGACAAATCTAATAAGCGTAGGGCTGTGTGTGAAGGATCAGTACACCCACTACCCAGAGCAGAAAACTCTGGCTAGTGAAGGGTCAAAGTCTGCAGAGCACAAATTGGTAGTAGGGTCAGATAAAGAAGCAGGAACTGGAGCAGAAGAGCATAATCATCACAAAGTTGTCAACATAAATGATGCCAAAGAGAATTTTAATAAAAGTTTGATTCTGTTTACTCCACGGATACTGAAATAAGATCTGTAAGAAAAACAGTGCCATTATGTTCACTGAGAACAACTGATTTTTTCTTCTGGTTTTCACAGTGCTTGTGATGAAATTTAAAAAAGTGTTACAATTGCTGACAGCTTTCAGATAATCCATTTGGTATTTTAGAGCCCCAATCATCAAAATTCAGATTTAATTGCAAGAAACGTCTGAGCTGAGATCTGACAGAAGTAAAAGTCCCAAAGCAGTAGGGTTATTTAGGTGGCACTTGGTCATGTAAACTGCTGATTGCAAGCAGCAGCAGTGGAGTTACCTGGTATCAAGTGCTGAAGCCTTCTACCTTCGTTTTTAGTGAATGAATTATTCCAGGTAATCGCCTGCCTGCCTCTCTTGCTATTAAGAATTGGATTCACTTTCTTTTATGTGCTGCAGCATTGAATCAGAATGATGACTGATTATTTGAGGCAGTAAGTGTCATCTTGGAGTTTACTGCTTTTGGCTGGAGAGGCAGTCAAACGACTTGGCACTGCCTTGGCCTTCTGCCATGAAAGCCTCTATTTCCTCCACAGTCCGTGGGACACACGTGAGCAGCTCCATTCCCGTGGCTGTCACCGCGATGTCGTCCTCGATCCGGACCTGCCACAGAGAACACACGGTTACCGGGGCGTTCCAGCTGGGATGAGGGCACAGCAGGCAGCAGGAGCACGAGGGGTGCCCAGGCTGAGCAATGCACTGCAGGCACTGGAGCTGCCTGGCACCACCAGCACCGTGGCACAGAGCTCTGCAGGCTCCAGCACCGGCCCTGCCACCCTCCTGGGGCCGCACGGGCTCGGTGGTGACCCCTCAGGTGTCTCAGGTGGTGCCTCTGCTGGGTCGGCACAGCAGGGACAGGCTGAGAGAGATGCCAATAAATCTCAACCCCCTGACATCAGGAGCAGTAAAAGGAACATTCTCCCCTGCATTTGCCTCCAGCCTTGCTAGCACATGGCTTGCTAAGGACAGTGCCTCCTGATGCCCACAGTGCCTCTTCTCAAAGCCGTCCTGTTCTGCACTGCAGGGAGCTTCCCTTTGCACTTAAACATTTCTCTAAACACAATAAACTTTCAAAGGAGGAACTGCAACATGAAATAGCTTGTAGCTGATATTCCAAACATTGAATTTTGAGCCAATGAGAAAGTCCTAAGCAGGTCAGACATTCCTTTTAAAATACAACTACTACATTTCAAATCATGGAAGGAAAAAGCAGATCCTCAGTTTCCCAGCTCTGGTTCTTGTTCTGAAAAGCGTGCTCCATTTCTGTTTGACTCTAATCTCTTCTTACCAGTAAATGTGCCTACACAGTCATTCCCGTTATCTTATCAGAAAAATGTTGCTAAGTCTCTAAGCTGCAATAAAAGCAATTTTAGTAAGGTGTAAATCCAAGAGAACACAAACCCTGGGTACTCCCACCTTACAGTTGCTTTAATTGTTTCTGACCTCTTGACATTTTCAACTAAAAATAAAGCTGGTTAACATTTGTACTTCTGGATTGCAAAATAATCCATTTGTTCAAACAAAGTGAGTCATCCAGTCCTTATTAAACTGTTTAATGATGTCTTTGCCAGATTATTTCTTTTACTTGGTATCAAGTTAAGTGTATTATAAAGCAGAATTAAATAAACGAACTCCATTGAGTTCACACATTTGCTTTGGACAGCTGTAAATTTGAAAGCTGTGGGGCTTTGTGGGCTCAGTGTGCCTGAAAGGCTGGTGCCTTGCTGCAGGGGAGGAAACCAGCAGAGGGGAGGCCAGACAAGGCCAGAGCTGACTCTGCCTACACAGAGAGCCTTTTCCTGAGCACCACCAGCTTCACAAACCTTCCCCTGCTTTAGCTGAAATAGTTTGTGCTTTTCAGTTCAACATTTCATGGCTTCACTGGCACCTCGGCATTCTTTGGACTAACTTGAAAGCAGAGCAGATGAAAGCCTGATGATGATGGGGAAGAACAAGTGGGACAAGGTCTTTGTCCATGCTGTACTTTATCTAGGCCACAAGAGAAAAATCAGGATGGACAAGGAGCTGGAAAACAGAGTGATGAATGACACCGGGGAAAGGAAGGCACAGTGAGGATTGACAAATAATGGACAATTATTCCACTGGGGCTGGAATGATGGGGAGAGATAGGGCTGGCTAAGGAGTCCAGGAAGGGAGATCCTGGTGGAGATGAGAAGTGAGACATCCTAAATGAGGAGAGCACACAGGGGGGCTGGAGCTGCCAAAGGTGGGCAGTTGAGAGTGACCAAATGGGGGAGGGTGAGTGCCACACACAGGGACTCACTGCACAGGAGAAACATTGTTAGGAGACCATGTAACCCATCCACAGCTGCAAACTGCTGTGAAAAGGAGGAGAGTCAGCACTGTCACACCAGCCTGCTCACCATCAGCAACTCCAGATGGTCTTTGGGATGGAGATGGAGGCACACAGAGCCCCTGGTCCCATGGGGCCTTACCCATCACACCAGTTCTTTCTCCAGGATCTAACCCTTCCTCTGCTGGATGAATCTCACCTGAAATGGGTGCTTGCCACAACAGAGAAGACAGATTTCCCACTCTTGGTGCACAGTTTTTCCTTTGCCTAAAAGCAGCATGAGTGCAGAGGAACATAGGCTGTCGAGAAGGAAATGGTTTAGTTTTCTCTTTTCCCTCACACCCTCCATGCTTCACCCTGAGCTTAAACTCAGCAGGAACAAGAAGCGGCTTCAGAGGACCTGCAAAACCTTCCCTACAGGAGAGTCCATCATTTGGTCTTGTCTTCTGTCCAAATGGGCAAAAGATGCTGGATCTGCCTGGCAAGGCTCGCCGGCCTGGGACTGCCTTTCCCAGTGGGGACAGTGGTTATGAAACTTGCTCTCAGAGCTGTCCCTTTCTGCAGGCTCTTTGTTCATCAGTGCTGCTTGTTTCAGGGCTACAGAGTGGTTTGGAATCAGGCACAGCTTAAAGGAAAGCAAACTGAAGTGTGATGTTTGCTGCACCTCCAGCTTTCAGGGCGCCCTGCAAACAACCCAGTGGAGGCTTTGCTGTTTTGGTGTTAAATGGTACACTTCAAAAAAAGCACTCCTGCAAAGCTGCAGTGGCCAGGAACGCTAGGACTGTCCCTAAAATGCCTTCTTTTTATCAAGGGTAGTGGCATGATCTGTCTAGACCCGACTGCACAACCAGCAACAGGCCATCATGTGGCTCGACCCAATGGTCCCAACTGTGTCCCAAAGCAGGGCTGTGTGGGCACAGCCAAGGACAGCACAGGAGTTAAATGGCTGCTGTTAGCTCTGAATACAGCCTCGCACTTTGTCCTGACTTACTAATACAGTCATGCTCCCCAGAGCCTCCTGGGTTACCTTCCAAGGGAAGGGGGGTTGTAGCACTTATTAATTTCTTTTGGATGACGATACATATAAAAGGCTTTTGAGAATCAAGAAACAATTTTGGCCAATTAAATAGTCCAGATTAGCATGATGACAGATCCCAGATGTCAAAAAAGGCAACTGGTGAAATGTCTCCTTTTTTTTAAAATCCATTGAGCATTTGTTTGGTTATGGGTGTAGAAAGCAGCAATACTACCACTGCAAGACCTTAGGATGGGACACTGGCCTGGGAAGCGATGCCAGGACATGGCCACACATGGCACCACACAAAGGGAACTGACACACGTGCTCCATGTGTCTGTTCCTACAGAGCCACACGAATGTAGCCGGGGCACTTTGACTCGGCCATCGACTTGCCAATAATTTTTAATAGAGCAAACTTAACAGAGTTTGACTTCTGTATCTCAGAGGGACGGGCTGGGAAACAGAGCTGCCCTCACATCAATCCCAGGGACGGGCAGTTACACACGTGGGGACACCAAGATGTTTTCTATAGAGGCCAGCAGGCTCCGTGCTGCACAATGACTCTTTCTCACCCCATGCTGCTCGTCTTCCTGCCACAAGCAAATCTTATTCACAAGCAAGTCCTCACATCAGGAGAACCTTTATTTTTAGATGCCCACATAGGAACATTTTATAGGAGTGGATCAACGTTAGTAGGGCGAGGCCACATATTTTATTAGATTGACTGATACAGCTGGGAAAAAAAAAGCTTCAGGTGCCCATCCCTTCATCCTGGCTCAAAACGTTGATTGCTTGTCAACTACAGGTTAGAAAGAACTGCTCTTACTTTAAATTAATTATATTAATTAGACAACTTCAGAGAAAAAGGTTAAAGAAGGTTTGTAAGCAACTAGTTGCAGTTTTTGGGTTGCCATATATCTACATTGTGACAACTGCTTTCCTAGGAAAACTTTAGAAGAAATGCTGTGTAGCATTATTACTGCTACATAATATGTAATGTTAAAAAGCAGATGAGCATAATGTTCTGGCCTAGTGAACTATTTCATTTCACTTCACAATACATATTCACCATAAACCCAGAAACAGAGCTTAACCTTCTGAAAAATAAAAATCAGGACAGAGACAACTACATGGCTCCCTGAACTAAAGGTAGAAGCAGCTAAATATCCTGCTTTTTATCTGGTTTAACATTTGTTCTGAGTAAGGGAAGTACTATTGTTTCAAAAAATATTGTAATATTAGCAGATCTTCAAGTTCCTGGGCTTTGTAAATCTTTTTAATTTTTAAATGAGAAAAATCTGCAAACAAAAGAAAGTAATATATTTATCTGTCTTTCAGCATTTTCCCTAAGTTGCATAGAGTTTTCACATATTAAGTCTAGTGCTAGTTCTACAAATCCTAGGGAAAAATAAAGCCTGAACAGAGACTGAATGTGTAAGGCCAAAAAAAAGGCTGAATGGTTTTACTGTGTCTTTGAGAAAACATCATATGAACTGCATGAATTAGTAATCAGCTTATGAAGAATGGAAATGTCAAACCCTAAAGGGCAGCATTTGCAGTCAGCATTTCCCCTTCCCCGAGGATGCAGCTGCTTTTCCCGAGCAGTACAATCTGGGTTTGCACATCCCTGTGTCTGTACATCCCTGGCTTTGCACATCCCTGCTCACTGGGGTGGGTGCAGGCAGGGCCCAGGCAGACAGAGGTGCCCTGGGACAGGCCCTTCCCCGCAGGATGTATCACCTCAGCAAACTGAGCCTCAGATTTGCAGATGGAGAACTGGAGTACATGTGACTGAAACGTCCCAAAACTGGCTATTTGTGAAGGACTGAACTCAAATAAAGAGTTTGGGGCTTCACACAGGGTACCATCCCCAGCACAACTGCTCGCCTGCCTCCAGAGGGATCTGTATTTGACCCAGAGCAGCTTGTTTGGTAAAAGCCCAGATCACGAGGTCCCTGAGCAGCAGTGACGGCCACAAAGGCTGTGTCTGTGCTCGAGGGACGAGCAGGGGGGACCTGTCCCACGTGTGCAGAGCTGGAGCAGTGCAGAGCAGCAGAGGGAACCTCACCCTCTCGCTCTTCCCTGCTCCTGCAGCTTTTATAATCTCTTCATGGCTGACACCAGGCAGCACGAATTACAATAAATGGCTACAGGCTTGTCCTTTTTGGCACGGCACAAGAGCTTTGCTTCTCAAAGCAGAGACTTGTCACAATCAAGAAAATTATCCAAAGCCCAAAAAAGACATGAATTCGAGGTGAATTCATTAAAATCCGCAAATGCCCTGTGTGGACAGTCTTACTCAGAATTACAGTGGTGTTACTTTGGTGAATGTAAGTTCATTTTTGAAGTGAATTAAACTAAACCAAATTAAGAACATTTTAATTAGTGCTGAGCTCTGCAGAGGGAAATGGACTACTTATTTCCTTTTGTAGAATGTACTTTTTTAAAACTTGAAGGAAGATTGGACTGGCTGTAGCGAGCTCTTCAGTTAGAACTGACACCAATACTAACCCCTGTACTATTAATATTTGTCAGTAAAAACACTGTGCTTCACAAAATCTCTTTTAATCCCATAGAAAGCAAGCTTTCTGGCATGCTCTTGAGAGAGATATTCATTCCCTCTGGATAATCTAGAATGGAACAGCATGTAGATAACTAAGCATGCTACACAGCACAAATTGCATCTTCTATTTATGCAGAATCAAGTCAGAATTGTAAAGATGGACAAATTTATTTCGATTGTATTATAATTCAGCTTTTTTGTAGAATTCAGAAATATTCAGATGTATTACAGTCTCAGATTTTATTTTCATTCTTCTCCTGGACAAAATCAAGGGACAACATCTGGCTCAGGGTACGTGTGTATTATTATTTTTTTCTCTCTAAGTAAAATGTATTGTTCACAGGGGGATTGGAGATTTAGATTTTTGCTCAATCGTTTTTGGGCAGCTCCCCCTTTCAGCAAAGTCCGTTGGCTAGCACTCCTTACAAGTCATCATTACAGGAAGCTAAGCAAAAAACAGGGGAGAAAGTTAGACTTTGCTTGAAATCTCTGGAACAAAAGTGCCTGATCCAGCAATTTATCACCAAAGTAGAGACCCTGTGTTGTGACTCCTATTCAGTGCAACCCCAGGCAGCAGGTGAGGCACAGGCACACCTCAAGCTGCAGAGCTGCAGTGGGCATTCCCAGCAGGTCGAGGAAAAACATGGGCTTTGCTGAGCAGTTCCACAGAAAACTCACCAGAAATCAATTCAACCGCCAAAAAATCCCCACAGAGTGTTTACAAGGAAAGCAAAGACAGTTAAACCTGTTTGCACTGCGGTGTCAACCTACACAAGCACAGGACAGTGTTCCTTTAAAACACCCTTGGGCGTGCGGTGCCATACAGAATGTGCTCGCAGCCAGAAAGTGCAGAGTCAGCTGCCTCTCCTTCACCAGTATCTCAGCTGGCTGGCTGGAAAGTCGTGATAAAGAAACAACACAGAGACAGATAACATCCCAGAGCTCAGCATGAGGGAAGCATCAGCAAGGGTGAGGTGTCTCTCGCTGGGGCCGCACACACATGGCGGGGGCTGCCCAGGAGCCCGGCGGGCTCACACCGCTGGGGAGGGCACACACACAGCTCTGCTCTCGGGGCTGCTGCTTCAAAGGCAGCTCAGACCAAAGTGCTGCAGCAATTACCCTCTCATGGCTGGGGTGCAGTGATAAATTAGTCAATGGCAGCAGCAGACAATTCCTAATGAGTGACTTTTCATACCAGAAAATCACCGCTGCTGCCAGTGATTGTTAGCTGTGTTGAGACTTAGCAAAAGAGCCACGAGGAGGACAGACCATGGCAGCTGCCTGCTCTATCTCCTCTGTGCAGGAACACAGAAGCCCAGAGAACAATGTGGCACCATTCAAAGGCTTGCCCTGCTGAAATAAAAACCCACTGGAAGCCACTGCGACTTCTGAGCGCTCTGTGAGGGCGGTGGCTTTGAATGGGAAATGTGCCCTGGAGAGCAAGGACAAACAAGGCCTCTCTACTTGCCCAGCAGCTGGGAATGGTCACCCAGATCACCTCCATCTCCTGAGCTGGCCAATCCTTTTGTGCACACACTGCTGCCTGAGCTGTCACCCCGAGCACGGATGCTTGGGAAGACCATCAGCCGTTCTTCTGAAAAATGGGGAAGGCTTTACAGGCACAAGTTTCATGCCTTTCTGTCAATAATCCAGTCAGAGCAATTATTGCTGATTTTATCTACTGCCTCCCCAGCTTGAACAGCATCAGGCTCTTCTGCCTCGGAAGGAAGCACCAGACTGTGCTGCCATCAAGGAAGCCAACTCTGGACTACAGATCTCAGTCTCATATTTCATAAAATACACATTTCACACATCAGACAAAACACCCACTTGGCAAGTCACTGTATGGTGCTGACAGAGAGTATTTCAGTCAGTGGGACAATATGGATCTATTGTTAATCAAACGTCACCAGTACAAAATCGCACTTAAAAATTAGACTAAAAAAACCCAGTTTGTCTGCAGAGTCAAATGGTCCAAATGGCTCAAGGTGCTGCTTCGGGAACAGCCCTGTGTGCAAGACATTACAACTTCCAAAAGACTTCTCCTCAAGGACATAGCGAGGGCAGACAAAGAGAAAGCCAATGAATAAAACCGCCCGGTGCGGGGTTACTCACCCCGCCGAAGCCCCGGAAGCGCCGCAGGACGTCGCTGTTGATGAAGCAGGACTGGGCGGGGTCGCGCAGGGCCTGGTCCAGGAGGTGGTCGATGAAGTAGATGCCCGGCTCGATGGTGAGCACCATGCCCTGCTCCAGGCTCCGCGCCGTGCGCAGGCTCCGCAGCCCCGGCTGGTCGATGCGCTCCACGCCCTGCGCGAGACACGGGGCTGACACGCGTGCCAAGTATGGAGCCCTCCCGTGCTGGCCACTCCATAGCACACAAAATACAAGAAACAATCACGAAGGACTGAAACTGAGCTCTGCAATTACCTCCCTCCCATTAGTCCTCATTTAGCTTTCACACAGAGCAATAACCAGCTTTCAACTCAACACCCAAACTGCTTTTTGCACCGCAGAAATCCTGGTTTTTGACATGGTACTGTTACTCTCTACCTTGGGAGAAACACTGCACTACGAAGAAAAAATAATTACTTGCACTATTCCTTTCTTTACCCTCCCTTGCAGAGTATGGTATTTTAAGTGACATGCAGATCTTGAAATGCCCCTGCCACGTCATGGCTGAAATAGCTGAACTATGCAGCAGAGAAGAATTTCTCCAAGGATATGCAAATACTTATTCTCACCAAATGTTATTAAAATTACACATTTATGATCTTGATTCAGGAGCAATGAGTCTACACATGACCTCATAAAAGCAGCCCATTTAAAGCTAAACTTTTGTCAGATTCAGACTTTCAGGCAACATGGTGCTGATTGGTATTATTAAAAGCTAAGTCAAAACAAGCCCTGACTAGCAAAACATTCTCTTCTTCCCAAAAGCTGGTAAAGTAAAATGATATATGAGGACGTGCTTAGTCAAGGAATTAGAAACACTGCAAAGACTAGTTAAGGATATTAATTTTCTTCCCTCAAATGTGCCAGGTATTGCAACATCGGAATAAATATATCTCAGTCCCATTAGCTTTTTGGAAATTCTTTGCAACTGTAGCAAAATGTCACCAACAAAATATCATGATGACCCGTAAACAGCTCACGGGCCACCAGATTGCAAACAGGCACACACACTGCTCATGAAACCCTTCCTGCTTTGGCCAGTGAGTCAGAGGGACCACGGCGTTATTTATCTGGTCTCCATGTGGCCTTCCCAAGTCTTGCTTCTGGCCCAAGCCAGAATTTTCCTTGTGGGCAGAAGGGGCGACTGCTGTCAGCATCACCAGGAGCATGACTGGTATCACGAGGATGAAACATCCCCTTTCTCCCAGACAAAGTGCCCTGCCCAGCGCTACCCTCGGTGCCGGGGCCACGCCAGCGCAGACACAGAGGGAGGCCAGAGCATACCCTGCAGATTACCCAGGCTTTCATCTCACTGAATCATTCCCTCTTCAGAGTGGATACAGCCCTGCAGCACTGTTTGCTCTTGAGTTACACTTTCAGTTCAGAGAAAGCCCATTTTACAGAAATACTGCTTGCAACAGCCTGTCAGCAGTGTTGGCTTTATTCTTGCTGGTCACCCAAGCAATGCTGGGATGCTTTTCTTCCCTTTGCAGAGCTTATTCTGTTCCAATGCACAGCATCTTACAGCAGCCAAGACTTTCAGAGCTAACCAGCCTGGACATTTGGAGACAGGTTTGCCCATTTTCACCGTGTATTCAATATGTTTTATGTCATATGTTTGATTTGGACTTCGCAGAGCACTACTTTACACTAAAATAAGAAAATATGATTTTGTTTTACTGAGCCTAGGAAACCAGAATATTCTGATATTAAGCAAGGCATTTTGCATTTATATGCTTATCAAAACCCACAGAAAATCAATATATTTCTAAACTTGAAACAATAACTGCACTGAAATGGAGCCATTTTTCTCTCTGCTGCTGCCCCATGGGGTTTGGCATTTCACACATTCATTGTAATGCGTAAAGGAAATGAGGGCATCCAATCTTGTGGATTAATCTCTCCATGAGCTGTAAACAATTAGATTAGTGTCTGGACCTTTTGGTGTCTTGCCAACTATCTATCGGCTGCTTTACAACAAACAACCCATATTTGGCTTTTAAGTCCACTTCTCCTCAATTCTACTTGTAAATGCCTTTTCCGAGGCAGTCAATCCAAGACAGATGCTAGAAAGATGAACGCATAGCGAGGAAAACAATGGCAAACATCCTCTGAAGGCAGCCCTGGCACAGCCTCCACATTTTTTTGCCTTTTCTTAAAAGAAATGATGCTTAACACCAGGTGTGACAACCAAGCCTCAGTGCCCACTTCAGCCATTAAAGCACCACACAGGCATTTTGTCCAGACTGCTCCCGGTCTGATCCTGCTGGTAGTACACCCTCCAAGAAGCCAACAGCACATCTACAACTCAGGAGCAAGCCCCAGACTCACATTTGGAAATGTCCCTCAGCACTGCAGGCTCCCCAGGCTGTAGCAACACAGGGAGGGTCCCCAAGGCACCTGAACACTGCTGCTCACCCAAGAGTAAAATTTTAACTTCTCTGGAAGGAATTCATGAACTCTTTTTGATATTCCCCCCATCTATCTCAGCTCTGAGTGGTGTTGGCTCTTGGTTTCATCTCCAGGTCTTTGGATTTTGCGTGTACTGAAGCAGCTACATCTCTGCCATGAAAGCATCTCTAGTGGGCCTTCAGAGAAAGGGTAATACTGCTCAGCTTTTCAAAGCTGAAGAGCAAGCAGGGCACTGGTGGGTGGGCTTGTGGCAAGGAAGACCTACAGTCCCTTTTAACAGGGCCTAGCAAGGTGTTCACCAAGAGATGTGGGAAAGGGATGAAGACAGACACAGGTGCTGGCTGTGGCTTGTTTGTGGCCATTCACACTGAGCAGAGGACAGCCCCAGTCCCATTTGCTGCGAGGCTGAAGGACAAAACCAGCTGACACAGGGAACAAGCAGAGCAGGGAAGTGACCAAGCTGGGGAAATGACAAAATCCCTTCTTTTGAGAACAGCGCTGGACTAAAGCATACATCAGACTATGGCTTCAGCATCCCACGGGGCATCTGATCTCTGGGCACTCATGACCATCCCAGTAGTCACCATGCCCAACCAGGTCCAGGGGCTGACAGTTCTCAGCTCTCAATCTGCTTCAGTTTTTGAAAAGTAGGACAAATTGAGGATTTTTTTTTAATGACTGAAATACCACGACCCCCAAACAGAAGCTGACAGGTCTGAAACAAGACCTGCTATTTTCCATCAAGTCAAACTCTATTGGGAGCAAAGCTGGGGAAACCTCTCACTGCCATCCATCAATATGACTCTTCTGCCACTGATGGATTTTCTTCTTTGTGAGGAGGAAACTTGCCCACACTTTGCAGCTAAACAGCACAAGCTTTGTTTTCAACAATCACCACGACGTTGTTTTGTAGCCAGATGAAATGAAGAGTAAAAATGTGGGTGCTGGAGCAGCAGCTGTGTGGGTCTCTGTTTCTGTTTCCATTATATCCTAGAGGCCTGGCCACAGAACAGGACTCTGCTGCACAACAGGAAAGCATAAACTGATTATTTGCCCCCCAAAAAATGTAGAGAATAGTCTAGAAAATATTAATACCTAGGCATCTAAAAAGAGACTCCCAGTTATATTCTGGGAAAATTACTTTTTGAATAAATTTATTCTCCTGTATATTGCAACAACAGACTGTATCTGAAATTGTTTTCTAAGATGGATTTTATTTGGAGGTACTGCTCACATTTTAAAATTGAGACACTCCTCCCCCAGTGAGCACAGATGTATGACACTGTCATTTGTGACTGTACTCCTGCCAAGAACATTGGATTCCAATTAATGGTTCATCTAAGGTAACAAAAAACAGCATGTCTAGGCAATAAGGAGTGTCAAGGGAACAAGAGAATTATTATGTAAACTGATTTCATTACTATGTAAGCAAAATAAAAGTTCAAATTAAGTGTAGAGTAATATAAAATATAGATCTATTTTCGGAATAAGCAGGGAATTAGGAAGTATCCGCCTATCCCCCAGAAAAATGGCCATGGAAGACTAGAATTTGCAATATTCCCAGAACATCTCAGTGTAAGGCTGAATTACTCCTTATACTGAGTATAAGGATGAACTGCTCCTAAGCAACCTAGTGGTTAATGGAGGTATATATTGCTTTTTGCACGGAAAAACTGCAATGTGTATCACACTGGATCTTGCTCCACAGCCCCTGGCTACCAGGCAAAGCCATCAGAGGCAGAGAGAGCTCCAGGCCCACCTGAGCGGGCCTGATCTTGGGTTTTTCTTTGGACCAGGACAGAAGAAAACCACAGGTGATGTCCCTGTGCTGGCTGCTCATCACGCACAGGGCCATGACACTACCTAGAGATGCACAGGCACAGAGATGCCAGGGCACCTTCCCCCCCAAAACCACCTAGAGATGCACAGGCACAGAGATGCCAGGGCACCTTCCCCCCCAAAACCACCTAGAGATGCACAGGCACAGAGATGCCAGGGCACCTTCCCCCCCAAAACCACCACCCAGCAGTTTCCTCCAGCCAGGCAGTGGCAGCCACAGCCACAGCAGACAACACCAGAGCTACTCATGGCTGCAAATACTGACCCGCAGTAAAAGACTCAGGTAGAGACACAAACCAGTTTCTGGTACTTTTTCCCAGTTAAATCATCACAGAACTTTTTGAGCCTGACAAACAGACTGTGCCAGCTGGAATACATCCAGTATACAACGAAGTCCTAACCACTTTACCAAGCTAAGTGCAATCAGGTATTTAAATTAATCAGGATACTAAGATTACACTTGGATAATATGAAATGAACACCGAAGTGAAATCTCAGCTCTTCCACTCCTCCCTGTTCTCCCAGTGCACATCCCCTACTTCTAATTAGCTCATTTGCTGCAAAAGGAACGGAGCTGTGTGCAGCTAATAAAATAAAAGTCCCAAATTCCATTTCACTTGTCTCCTGGTCCCTTCTCTCTAAGCCCTTGTTTCACTTGCTGAGTGTTACTAATGAAGATTAGTTTATTCAATCTATCCCACTTTTCCCCAGCAGCCTGAGCTGCCTGTAGTCACCTGAAGGAACTGCTGTCACTCCTGCCTTTGAAATCAGCAGCAGGTTCCAGAATATGCCCCAAGCACCACATATCACTTGTGGCATTTGCAAGTCAAAGCTTCCACTTCTGCAGGAGAATCTAATTAATAGCTGGAGCTTTTGGGACACAT